TCAAGCTCTATTGAATGATATAATTTTCATATTTATTTGCAATACTTTTTCCTGACATCATATTTTTGGGTGTTTGACTTTGACAGAGTCAGAATTGGTTTAATTGACCTTTCTCATAAAGGTTCTCTCATTTAATTTATATCAGTTATTCTCATGATTTATTTTAAGAAATCATTTCAATATTTACATTCTAAACAAATTCTTTATTTACTCTTGATTTGGGTCTGTACTCAGGTTCCCAATCAACACCACACAAATAGTCCACATACTGGATTTATCTCTATGAGACTTATCCAGATTTTGATATTGGATGTCAAAACACATTTCATATCGGCCCAAAGCCCAACAATAATTTATTTTAATCAAAACAAATTTGATTAATTGACTATTTATTCATTAATAATTCTAGGGTATGTTTTGGAGCGTTACACCTTGTCAATAAATTGAACAATTAATCGTTTATCACATAAGAGCTGAGAGACAGAAATCAAGTTGCAATTGAGATTGGGAACGAGCAAGACGTTGGCTAGAGTAGCGTGCCGCTCAGCTGCACACGGCCTTTCTTTGTGGCAGCCACAATGTCACCATCTGGAAGAGTAACCGAACAATGTCGTACTCGCTCAACATGGGTTAGGAATTCCTCGTTTCCCGTCATGTGTTGACTCGCCCCGCTGTCTATAATCCAAGAGGTAGTGAGATTAACTGAAAAAGTGTTTTCAAGGGGGATGTCCTTCTCTTTTAATAGATTCATCAAGGTGCTCCATTGCTCGGACGTGAAAGCTTCCCATTCGTTGCTTGCTTTCTTTGTACGGGCTGTGTGTGCCGTGGCAGTAGTGCCAAAACCAGCTGGGGACCGGCTGTTACGTCCGCCAGAGGCACCAGTTCTGCCCCCAGCCGACCACCTCCGCGACCAACCCGGCTTCCTCCTCGGTTATTGTTTTGTCCACGCGGCCTATCACCCCACCATTCCGGATACCCAATAAACTGAAAACAACCACTGATTTCATGGCCATTCATACCGCAATGTTTGCATTTGACATCTCTAGGCGTGTCACAGTCTGCTTGCTCCCGATTTGCTCGGTCGGTGACAGTGAAACTGACCGGGTTTTTCTCTTCTTCTTGTGTGGTCACTCTAAGGACGCCTTCTTGTTGTATAATCGTTGAGTATACACGATTGAGCGGTGCGAGCGGGGTGGTACTCAGAATGTTAGAACGCACGCCGCTATAGCCCTTGTTATCGAGTCCCATCAAGAATTGATGCACCTTTTCATTCTCCTTTTGTGTCTCGATTGTCTTGATGGCACCACACTTGCACGCGCGGCACTTTGCACACGTAGGTAGTTTCTCAATCCTACCCAATTCGTCCCATATGTTTTTTATTTTGCCAAAATAAGAGGCAATAGGCTGTCCATTTTGTTTGCAATTTGCCAATTCCTTCTAGAGTTGGTTAACACGTGGTCCGTCTGCCACCGAAAATCGTTCTTGAATGTCGTTCCATAGTTGCGCCGCTTCCTCAACTTGGGTGATGGAGTTTCGGAGTGAACCATCGATGGTGTTAAAGATCCAAGACACCAACATGGCATTCACGATCCACCATTCCTCAGCCTGTTCTTCGTCGTCTTCGGGTAGGGGAATTGATCCGTCGACGAAACCGAATTTTCTCTTGGCACGGAGTGCGATATGCACGCCCCGAGCCCATTCTTCGTAGTTGTCACCCGTCAATTTGATCCGTGTGATCACCAACGCAGGAGTGTCCGCTGATTTGAGTTCATAAGGGCTTACCCTTACTATTTCTTCTTCGCCGGTGGCTTTCGAGAAAGGGTTCTCCGATCCAGCCTCAGCCATGGCTCACGGTCGGATCACGTCTGCTGCTCTGGTACCATGTGAAGGAACCAATTCAACCAAAAGCTCAGGCTTGTGGTTGTGGCCCAGGAACAGTTATTTATATTCTAACACATGGCCACAAATTTCACAAAAACAACCTGTGAAACACAATTTTCGGCGATGAATTCAAGAAGATAGGCTGATTTCAGTTTGTTCTTGTATAAATAACCTCAATTCTATAATGTTAGAGAAATTTACCTAAATAGGACTAAAACATAATGACTTTCCTAATATAGGACCATATGTTTTTATTTCCCAATGTAGGACCTTTGGTCATTATGAAATAGTCATTATTCAAGTAAATGTCCATCATTACTGGACATTATTCCTTCCACTAGGTCATTATTAAGTCCTATTCAGGAAATAAAAAAGTTTAAGTCCTACATTAGGAAAGTCATTATGTTTTAGTCCTATTTAGGACAAATTTCACATAATGTTAATATGTGAAAATGTTTAGAACCGTAGAAAAAAAACTACTTCAACGACATGGTTTCATACTAACAACGAACAAAATCACATACTAAATTGATTCATACAATACTTTCCCCGGCAACAGCGCCAAAATTTGTTGAGGACTTTTCGTGCGGTCCAAAACAAATTAAAAATTTTTAAAATATCCTTAGCTAACCCCCAAGATATAATCAAATAAAAACTATAGCTAGGGCATGTAAGGGTCGATCCCACGGAGAAAGATTGTACTTTTGAAATCATTTAAACATGCACACACATTGTCACTAAACAAAACAAACAAAAGCAAACTAACTACTACCATCAAAATGGATCTCTAAACTGTCTGCGCTTCTTTAAATAATGAAATAGCAGTTAGTCAAGCAATGTAACTTTCGACGTTGAGCCGGGGGTCTCTTTGGAAACAGCCTCTCTACTTTCGAGTAGGGGTAAGGTCTGCGTGCACACACCCTCCCCGAACCCTACTCTTGTGGGATTTAACTGGGTTGTTGTTGTTGTACTCTACCATTGAGCTAATAGGCTAAGAAAAGTAGCTCAAATAGTATAACAATGTTATAATGCTAACAAAGCATCTCAACGTCATGCTGCCTAAAGAGTGACTTATTAAAAATCCTCATCATCTCAAATGAGGATTAATAAAAATGCTCTTTATCAATAAAATGGCTTACTATAGTACCATTTACTTCTAAGATAGTTTCTCAGATAGTTACAAAAGTATTAGGAAAATCTTTTTTGAATAATGATTTAGCATCGATGATTGCTTTAGTTGGAGAAATAACTTTCACAACCAAACTCTCATTTTCTAACAGAATAGGAGTACCTGGGCATATTAGCCACAACCGAGTCATTATGCTTAAAAACAAAAAGATGCTGCAAAAGTAACCTCATGAGCATCATTTGTACATACTGTAGATTCTAGATTCTAGATAATAGATAGGATGTGAACTAATACATGGACTAAAGATTCTTGCTTAGCCAAGGATGCAGAAACTATAAAAGGGGCAGGGGCTTCTTTTTTCTACGAGGGATTGACTGAAACACGAGCTATCAAAGTACCTATTTCCCAAAGAGGATTGTTGATAACCGTGCCTTTCAAAGTTATTCTCATATTCTGTTTAGACTACCACAAGCCACATCCTTGAGCGTACTGTGCTTAATGGAAGAATCTGTAGCACATGTAACAAAAACATTTGTGGACAAGTACACTACTAAAGCTTTCAACTTGACAGTAACTCACAATGCCCCCTCTATAGTCTGTAAAAAAATCATAAAGGTGAGGCAGTGAAGAGAGGACATAAGAAAGGTTCCAAAAACCTCAGGGGGAAAACTCCAGTAATATCCATTCCATTTTGTAGTTGTCCAGATAACATGTTCTATTTTGTTTGGCAATGAACAAAATGAAATGGTGTACCACAAGGTTACTATTTCCCTCCCCCCCATCTGATGGATACCCTGGACAGGGGGTATCCGGTCTTTGTATAATGTTAGTTGGGGCGGTCCAGTCTGTTGGACCGGCCCGTTAGTCGTACGATAATTATTTATTTAAGGGCGGCCCAGTTTGTTGGGTCGGCCCATTAGTCGCATATTTATTATTTAGGGCGGCCTAGTCTGTTGGGCCGGCCCATTAGTTCGAAACTCTGGCCCTAACTCTCCTTATTTATACTCCTCTTTTTGGAAGGAGGAGGAGGGGGAAAGAGGGAGGCTCACCACTATTCATCATCTTCTTCATCTAATGTACACATATTTCTCCTTCTTCCCCTACCCTTGGGTTCCAGAACCCAACAATGGTGCTCTCATTGAGAGTGTCGAACACATCAAGCATGCTCTCTTTAAATTTCCTTTGATTTTTTTTCATTTTTCAAGTTCATCATTTTTTTCCCTAAATCTAGAAAATCGAACTTACTGTTGGAGAATTCCAAACTCCAACTCACAGTAGGGGATTTCAAACTCCGCTACAAATTTGAACGGAGCTGTGGATGATGCGACCCGGGCAAAGCTCTGTCCTTCCATCCGGCTGGGAGGAACGCAACCCAAAGCAATTTTCAGCCCGACCCTGTGAAGCCCTGTCCACCGTCGACGACGCCTAGCGACGTTCCGGTGGCTTCGGCTACTCCGGAATTAGGCATCCGTCAACAGCGATCGTGGATAGGCCACCCATTTCCGGCCGGATATCGCAGCACTGCCGTTGGCCATCTGACTCCCGCCGGCGGGTGAGGTCGGAGGTAGTGAGGAGGGTAGATCTGCTGCAGATCCATGTCACAGGACCCAATAGACGACCCCCGGATCTGCCCCGTGCTCTAGCCGGCGACAATCCACCAACGATGGCCGTCGTACGGATTCTCAATGGCCCAGAGTTGTACGGCTCCGATGACTCCAATGCACGGCGTCCCTCTGCGCAGCTAATGACGAACGCTGATGACTCTAGAGCAGCGACGAGCTCCGTCGGTGGCATGGCACTGCCGGCGACGAACTCCATTGGCGAGCTCTTCACCGCTGTCCACTGTCGTCCGATAGCTACAGCGGCTCAAGGTTTGAAGGAGACCAACGGCGAGGCGGTTCCTGCAGTTCACGACCGGCGAGGATGGAGCGTCTCTGATCTGTGGTCATTCCACTAGTGTCTTTCGAGAAACATAGTTGGGGTCCGTTTCGGCACTCCAGCTCAAAAGGCCGGGTTCACCCCCTTTATCATAACTCCATGTTAAACATGGCAAGCATGGTCCACACAACTCCCTGTTACTCCCTTAAAAAAAAGAAGGGGGGCCCGTACTGACGAGTCACTTCCTTGGCGAAAAGCATCCGACGCCGAGCAGAAACTGAGCTTCGGTCAGCTTCCCAAGATAAGTGTCTTTACCCCTGACACCCTATTTCAACTATTCCGTATTTATTGTTTTTACCATATTATCAATATCATCATTGATAATATTCACTCTATTATTATTACCATTACCTTGTCCACAACATGTGATCGGACCTCACTTGGACGATGGTATTACACTTTGTGTTCAACACTTTAAGCCCTGATGTGGGACGAGTGCAAAGCTTAATCTCACACCCCACACAGGCCAGCGACCTGCTTCAAGGCATGGCTCAGATCCAACTCATTTAGTCATTCCTTAGCGCGAGGCCGGGTAAAACCTCTCTACGAGGTGTTGAAGATCGTCTACGACGATATTATCGCGAGGCCGAGGTAAGCCGTCCATCTTGACGCACTCTTATCCGTCTTCCACGACGCGATCTCATTTCCTCTTCCACGAGGCCGAGGTAAGACGTCCGCCGCGACGCACTCCCATGACGTGATTTTATTTCCTCTTCCACGAGGCCGAGGTAAGCCCTCCCCGCGAGGCGCTCCAAATCATCCGCGACGATATTATTTGCGAGGCCGAGGTAAGCCGTCCATCTCGACGCACTCCTATATATCCATCTTCCACGACGTGAACTATTCGCTCTCGGATCTAAGGCGAGGGGTGCATCCTTTGTGCCTATCTCACTTACCCGAGCAGCTCTCATTTGAAGACCCCGGTCTTGCTAGGGATGACGTCATGGTTTGTTCTAGACCAGACTACAACACGATCGGCGCACTTTGCTGATTAGGCCTATCTTTTGTCCAAAACTTTGGATTCAACTCATACGTTGACTTACCTTTGTCAGCCGCGTGGTAATTAGTCCATCCGAGCCCGCGAGCGCCTTGTGTTCTTTTTGAACTTATTTTGCAGGTCAGAAGGATGAGAAGGCCAGGCTCGGCCTCGGCCACCTCACGAGGCACCCACGCCCTCGGCCCCAGCCATTCAAGCTCGGCCTCAGCCACACGAGCTCGGTCCAGCCACTCAAGCTCGGCCTCAGGCACTCAAGCTCGGCCTCAGTCACTCAAGCTCGGCCTCATCCACTTGAGCTCGGCCTCAGCCCTTCAAGCTCGGCATCAGCCACACGAGCTCGGCACATCCACTCAAGCTGAGCCTCAGCCATCTCGTGAAGGGGCCAGAGACTCCCATCGGAGCCGAGCATGGACACTACTCCCTTGCACCTCGGAATTCTTCTTCGGCTTAGGGAATGGGGGACTCCAGGTGCTCGGATCGTGATTGTTACATCTCACATCAGGAGAGGTTGGCGATCGACATCCCAACCTTGTATCAGACCGCAGCAGTCCGGTTCGACATGCACTCCTCGGCAATCCATTATGTCGAACAGCCCTCGACTCCGGACAACGAGTCCGGGGGACTTGAAGATCACATCTTCTGAGATTCGCACAGAAGACCTCACACCCTAGTAATGTTTTCTTGATCCACTCTGTGGGACGAGATGTACTCTTTTCTTGACCAAGGATTTTTCCCATCCTCATGGGTTTTTTCCTCAGCAAGTTTTTAATGAGGCATCCCCCGTGGAGTGGGTCACACATTGACGGGATTGTGGGAGGATGTTCGAAGACGACAAACGGATTGTAGATGACAACTGATTCATCCACTCTTATGATGATTGTACCCTCTGGACAACAAGGAAGACGGTGTCCTTCCGTGGTGGATTTTTGTTCTACTCCCACTTCACCTCGAGTTCCTCTCGGCTCGGGAAGTGGACTCATGATGGATACCCTGGACAGGGGGTATTCGGTCTTTGTATAATATTAGTCGGGGCGGTCCAGTTTGTTGGATCAGCCCGTTAGTCATTTATTAATTACTTATTTAGGGTGGCCCAGCCTGTTGGGCCGGCCCATTGGTCTTTGTATGTAAACCCTAGCCCTAACTCTCCCATTATATATACCCCTCTTCTTGGAAGAGGGAGGGGGAGAGGGAGCTCATTCCACACAAAAGACTTACGTTCTGACTTATGCTCTAACTAGCACAATAATACTCTCAGTTTACTTGACCCCATATTTGTGCACTCTCGACTTAGTTCGATACTCTTCCACCTAGTTTCCTAGGCCCCCAGGGTTCCTTAACCCAAATCAAGCATGTATAAATAATAAAATTAAAAATCAGCAAGTAAAAGTGTAGAAAAGTGGCTTCAAAAGCAATTTTTATGAAAAGTTGGCCACAAATTTCACAAAAACAACCTGTGAAACACAATTTTCAGCGATGAATTCAAAAAGATAGGCTGATTTCAGTTTGTTCTTGTATAAATAACCTCAATTCTATAATGTTAGAGAAATTTACCTAAATAGGACTAAAACATAATGACTTTCCTAATATAGGACCATATGTTTTTATTTCCCAATGTAGGACCTTTGGTCATTATGAAGTAGTCATTATTCAAGTAAATGTCCATCATTAGTCGACATTATTCCTTCCACTAGGTCATTATTAAGTCCTATTTAGGGAATAAAAAAGTTTAAGTCCTATATTAGAAAAGTCATTATGTTTTAGTCCTATTTAGGACAAATTTCACATAATGTTAATATGTGAAAATGTTTAGAACTGTAGAAAAAAAACTACTTCAACGACATGCTTTCATACTAACAAAGAACAAAATCACATACTAAATTGATTCATACAATACTTTCCCCGGCAACGGCGCCAAAATTTGTTGAGGACTTGTCGTGCGTTCCAAAACAAATTAAAATTTATTAAAATATCCTTAGCTAACCCCAAGATATAATCAAATAAAAACTATAGCTAGGGCAAGTAAGGGTCGATCCCACGGAGAAAGATTGTACTTTTGAAATCATTAAAGCATGCACACACATTGTCACTAAAAAAAACAAACAAAAGCAAACTAACTAGTACCATCAAAATGGATCTCTAAACTGTCTGCGCTTCTTTAATTAATGAAGTAGCAGTTAGTCTGTAACGCCCCGAAATCTGGCCCAAAAGAATTAATTAAATTGTTAGAGCAATTGATTACGAATTGGGCCCAAAAAGGGGTTAAAATTATAATTTGGATTCTAAGCCCAACTTTTATGTCATCTCGTAGGAAATATTTTTGTGATCGCGTCGGTTCAGACGGCTCGCGAATCGGAGTTTTGGAGCTCATGTTATGGTCGTATAATCAGGTATTTTGGGTCCGAAGCCCAATCCTTTTAGGAATGGGATCATTAAATAAAACCTAAACCTATCTTCTTCCGTTTAGATCTGAGAGCCGTGATGTTCATCGTCACTTTCTTCTTTTTCATTTTCGATCGCCGGTCATCCCCCCTGCCGTTCGACCACGCCGGCGTCGCATAGCCTCCGCCTCCTCGCCGCACCA